AGCAAGAGCTTTGACCCTGTGCGTCCTTGAAGCCTAAGGCGGGATGCCGCTTTTGAAGAGAGGTCGGCCTTCTTTCGGGGGCCAAAAAATATAAAATCTCCTCAGCGTTGTGCTCGCTGGACAGCTGAGGGGGGTTGTCACCGAGCTTCATTCTCTCCACACGACCGGCTTTAGGACAGGGGGTGGCTGCCAGGTTGTTTTCAGGTCACAGCCTTCTGTGGTTAAAGCTGAAAGGGGTTGCGTGTAGGTTTTCCCCAATCCATTCCTCCCACCTACCCTAAAGGACAAATGCGGTCTCCCCCGGTTCGTTTTATAAAATCTTAAAGCTTGTTTCGCAGCACCGTATGATGGAAACCTTAGCAGGCTTAGCAACAGGTAAATTAAATGACAGCGGTAGCGATGAAATGGACCTAAGCGTGGCCGTTGCTCTGCGTTGTTCCGACCCGAGCTCAGCTAGCCTGAGTGTTACAGGTGAAGATACCTTTTTCTGAGCAGTTTTGCTAGGGAGATGAGCAAAAGCAGCGCGAGTTGGTTGCTTTCCCTTTTTGCTTAAAGGAGTAGGCAGTAGAAGTGAGCTTTCAGGTATGGCAGACCTGTAGTATGTATCAGGTAAAATTAAATGCATTTATTTATGGAGGTCAGCCATAGCTTATTGGTATGAGCAGGAATAGAGCTTGCACAGTTTTTTCCTAGTTTTAGGGTGTTTTAAATAACGGAAGGCGAGGCAAGGACAGAGACCCATCCTTATTCTAATAGCAACAACTTACTGCTGTCAGGTGTCAACTATGGGCACCTCAGAGTTTGTTCAGGTCGACTGAGTTGTGTTTCTCCTTCCTCTACTACCTAACACAGCACGCAGTTGTCGTATATCCATATCTATACAGAGCTCTTTCACAGGCTTAACGACAGCTCTCAAAACCTCACTTTGCTCTTTTAGACTTGAGAACAGTTTGAGAACAGTTTGAGTTCCCTTCTTGCAGGTACGCGTCTCAAGAAGGGATCCCAGACAAAAGCTGTCCCTTTGAAGACTAAAATTCAAGTCTAACATATGTCTTCTTTTAGTGACTTTTTAAATTTAGGAGTCTGTCTTTCATTTGTTCCTATTTTCTGCTCTTTTTCCCTTCTAGATTAGGGAAATATGTTCTGATGAGAGAAAATGGAAGCGTGTTAGAGGTGTTTTCTATCTGTGAAGTTTAACGTTTAACTTAAGTTAAACTTAACTTAGTACTTTGGAGTTTTTTAGGTCCTAACTGGGTTCTCATTGTATTTATCATATTTACTTCTCTCCCCAGTGTCCAACAGCCAACATGTCTAGCAAAAAGGCAAAGACGAAGACCACCAAGAAGCGCCCTCAGCGTGCCACTTCCAATGTATTTGCAATGTTTGATCAGTCACAGATCCAGGAATTCAAGGAAGCCTTCAACATGATCGACCAGAACAGGGATGGCTTCATTGACAAAGAGGACTTGCACGATATGCTCGCCTCCCTTGGTAAGGGCACTTCTCTGGTTACGGTTGCCAAGCAAATTTGTGCTGTTGTCATTAAACTACTGAGTTTGGGATGGCTTACGAGAGGTGTCTCCATTTGTATTACGCTATCCAGATCACTTTTTTCTTTTAGTTTGAAGGCTAAACCAAATATGAATCCCTTTATTTGTAGGGAAGAATCCGACGGATGAATACCTGGATGCCATGATGAATGAGGCTCCAGGCCCCATAAACTTCACGATGTTCCTCACAATGTTTGGTGAGAAGTTAAATGGCACAGACCCAGAAGATGTAATCAGGAATGCTTTTGCGTGCTTTGATGAAGAAGCAACAGGTATGTGGGTGAAACTCAGCTGCTTGATGGGGGAGGAGGGGGTGGTTTTATGTTGTTTATTTGAGTTTGTAAATAGTATGCTGATTTTTGCACCTTTATAAATGAAGTTTAACACAGTAATCCTCGATGGCATATTCTACCAAGTAATGAGAATTTGGCTTATTACCAAGTGAGAGTAAAAACTGTCTGGCTGTTCTGTGTGAGTACAGAGGACTAGTAGTAATGTTCTTCTGTGAGGCTTTGAAGATAGTGGTTTAACTGGGCAGCCTGTATGTTCCTCAAAGTACAAAATGAAATACATTTGCTCTAAGAAGATGAGGAATTCAAATTGGGAATATGTGATTTTCCATGGCATTGAAAAGGTAACAGATACGAAATCTGTAATACAACTGAATTTGTCCTCCCACTGCAGTAGATCTGAGATGCATCTGAATTCTTCGGCGTTTTTAATGTTTCAAGACAGGCTGTCCAGGCTACATAAACTCTTTTGAACCCTCACCTTGCCTAGTGTATGTTGTGGCTCTGATGACAAATGCCATGTGTCATGCCCTCACCCGCAGCTCGGTTTGTTTGCAGGTTGCAGGAAGGGCTGCAGCCGTAATGATCTAAAGATAAAAACCAGGTGGGGTCTAGAAGGCAGAAGTGACAGATTGGACTGACTTGCATAGCGAGATGGGAGGAAAATGCAGAGCTCGGTTTTACTATATCAGACTTTAAAGGTTGCGCCTGTAATCATGAGGTTAGAGTTTATGCTTGTATTGATTTATTCATGTAGGCTAAGATTCCGGAGAAGTGTATAGCAACCAGGGATGAATCCTTAGGGCAATTCTGCAGAACTGCAGAACACTGGCACTTTGACACCTTGTGAATACCTTTTATTAGAGTGTGCTGAAACTATGTAGCCTCTGTACTAGAGATGTCACCGCACCTATAACTTTTCACACAACTGTCCACCACAATATTTCAATCTAACCTGAGGATATGGTGCTCTGAACCTTTCAAAGGATATTATTCCGTTTCAAACAGCTATTTTCAGTCTGTGTATCTTTAGCACCTTTTGCCTTTTCAAAGAGCATCCCCTTCCTGCCGAGGTGTAGGTAAACAGGCTTTCTGTTGGTAAGGCCTTTTCAAATGTTAATTGACTTCCTCCCTCTCAAGGGAAATCTCTTTACCATCTCCTACAGAAGGAAGTTTTGTTAGTAGGTTAATTATTTTCTCTCCACAGGTAGTCTGACTCACTGTGCTACAGGGGTTTTTTGTGTGCACCAAAACAAGAGCCTGCGAATTACCATATAAAGAAAATGATTGTGCTACCAGTTCTTTTGAACAGTAACCTTCTCCGTCTATGTAAACAATAAGTTACTAGTTCAGGCCCCCATGTACTGATAAGATTGATTTTATTATCTTTCAGCTCTGTGTGGTAAATGTTTTAGTCTAGTCCTAGGATGATTTGAGGATAATGGTTCCACAGTCTCTTTCGAGTCTTATGCCATCCTCAAATTTCAACCAGGAAACATGTTAGATAGTTATGCTGTTCTATTGGTTTTTGATTTGTAATAGTCAACATGCAGTCTTCAAAATAACACGTGATGTATTTGTAGAACCCATGTTATGTTTGCCTTTTATTAATTTTATTCTCAGATTTGGCTTCTGATCAGTTTGTTCCTTTTAAAAATGAACAAAGGCATTTCCAGCTATGTCAACCCTTTTTTTTTCTTTTTTTTTCACTTCGTAATCTCCACATGCGTGTGTGTTATGGGCCTGATTTTCTAGCTCTACATCAGCGTAGTTCTTTTGAAAAAGAATAATATAAATCAGATCCTCTTGATGAGGATAAGGTAGTTGTACCTGTTGGATTTTACTTACAGTTCCTATAGTGCTTGAGCATTACTATCGTATGTAGTACTATGAAATCAGTATAAAAGTTCTGTCTGCATTTGGTATGTCTTTTGTCTGCTCTTTGATCCTGCATTGTCATCTGTTTTGTGCTGTCTGCCACAGGCTGAATCTTAAATTTTGCTTCATTAATTTGTTACTCCCCACCTACACTGAAGCTGTGTGAGAAGGTGAGTTTCCTTTACAATTTGGTGCTGCTAAAACTTTTAGTGTATTCCTAGTCTGGCAGCCTAGTTTGGTGTTTAAACCCCTAGCTGTTCGGACAGAAGCAATTAAGTCCTTGAGGCTAAACTTGCAGCACCAAAGGCCTTGCATTCTTTGAATGCTAGTCCTTATTTCATCTCTCATCACTGCTTGGTCTCTGTAGGACCGCAGAAATAGAAAGCCTCATCTGTTTAGCTGTTTTTTCACCTTCTTTATGCACATCTGCAGAGACAACTCCAAAATTTTGTCCGATTAAGATGGGCCTGGCTGTCTGAACATTCACCCCGTTTTTCAAGTAGAATATTGCTGTTGGCCTTCTTCATTTGGAGTCAGTAGTCAAGGGCTTGTCTACGCTGGGATGTGATGCTGCTTTAATTAGCAAACGTGGAAACACGGTGTTTTTCCCCTTCCCTGCAGCATACACCAACCCCATGATAATTTGTCATGCTCATTGACTGCCTTTTGGTCTCCCAATTCCCTGCTTGGTTTTGTCTCTCTAATGAACTCTGTTTGCTTAAGTTATTCAACTCTCTTTCCAAAGCAGAACTTTCTTTTTTTGAATCACATTCTAATTGAGTCTACATCAGTTGATGTGGGTGTCCACGTATGATTTCCAGCTGTTCTGCACAGTTTACGTGTCTTTGTTTTTTGGAACATACTTCTGCCTCCTCTGTTCTGTTATTGGTATTTCTCCAGCTAAAGTTCAATAACCGATTTCTTTCTCAAATGAAGCAACTATTGTGCATTTAAAGGCATGGTAGGTCTCTTTTTCAACATTAAGCAGTTTCTGCATTCTTCTGTCTACCATTTGTTATGCGCGTTCCTTTTTTCATCTCGAAACCTTCCTGGAATTATTTGGCAGCTGGTGGTTCTGCCCATCTATTGAAATTGAATTCACAGAACCTACTTAGCAACTGCTCATTTTCATATCTTTGTTAAATGTCCTCCAAAATCTTCTGCTAATATTTTAGCATAAAATAAGTAACTTAATATATCCTTCCTTTTTTTGACTGGCTTCTCCACCTCCACCTCTCCACAGTAAACATTCTTCCTCCCTCCAGAGATAACTTGCTCAATCCTGTCTGAAAGTCTT